GGAACCACGTTCGTCTGATTCTTCTTGGAGGACATGCTTTCAGGGTTGCATTACTTGTCCGCGGCTCCTGTTCAGTGTGCCTTCTGCTTCTACTCACAAGACCGGAGTCGGCACGGCAGGCTTGCGGTCGGTGCCTTTTACTGACCAGGAAACTGGTCGGACAAGGCTGCGTGTCGTGGCTCGCACAGGCAAGGAGCCGAGGTTGCCGATGTGGCCTGGCGACGCGATGCCTGTTGCGCAAGGTCGTGTTGAGGTGAGTGCCGAGTTCTTCAAGGACAAGTTCAGTTTGGGCAGTCGCGTGGAGACCTCCACGAAGAGCGCCAATCGAGGTCATGTCCTGACAGTGCAATTCAAGGGGCAGTGCTACCTGGCCGCTGGGACTTGATTATGGAATTCACACTTTCGCATGTTGGGCGCCGCCGTCACAGGCTTTATCGATGCGCTGGATCGGCACGTCCAGGTCGATGATTTGGGGCTTCTGCGCACCGTTTGCAAGAAGATGGCCTTCCTGGAGATTCATCGACAAGGCATGGCGGACGTGGCCAGGGTGCGATCAATGCTTGCGGCGTCGCGCGGCAGTTGCGTTCATTGGTCTTGGAGCGCGTCGTGGAGGGGGTCCGTGCAGGCACACAAACCGGGTCAAGACCTGCGACTACAGCACGAAGCCTACAATGAATTGTGGACCGTCCTGAAGCATTTGACCCACGGTACGGCGCACTTGGAAGCTCAGCTGGAGAAGGAGGCCGCTCAGCGGCAGGCGCAGCGGATTCTGGCTGCGTTCAATGCAGGGCAGGCCCCTTTCAATGTCCCCGCCGCTGGCGATGAACCTCCACAGGGCCGCTTCACTGAAGAGGAACGAGAGTGTCGGCGCCATCTTTGTCGTCTGTGGACTGCCGCGAATCAGGCGGTCATGAAGGGCAACTCCTTGATGAGCATGCAGCTTTTGACGGGTAGGGAGGTTACTCGAACGCATCGTTTCTGGCGCATCATGATGAAGCGGGTTGTCTGGGGCATGATTCAAGCAGATCGGGAGCGGCCTATGGGCGTTTGTGGACACAAGTCGTCGGAAGGCTCCAGCTCGGCCAGTTTGTCCGGAGGCGCGGACCCTGACAACGCGGCGAGGGGCAAGAAGATGGCAGTTAATCCTGTCCGTGACGGAGCGTCACGACCCGGGCCTCAGACTTTGACGACGAGTGACTGATTTTAAGAGCCTGTGACCGACGTTCAGGTTTCGGGCGGCGTTGCCCGCTTACGGAGCACGTCCTTTTATGAGGATTAGTTACATCGTGGCCTGGAGGAACCTTTGGCTTCCATGTCACTGTACGTGTATGCCACGCACGTGTCGTGCGTCCACGTCAAGGAAGCTGGCTACCATGTTCATGGCGAGTTTTCTTCGATGAGCACTATTCGAAAGCGAAAACCCATGTGCAAATTCTGCAAGGAGAGCCGCGTATTCCGTACCTGCACGGCATCACGGTACCCAGCAAGAGCAAAGATGCCAACACGCGATCGGTGGCACAGTGCTGTGTGTTCAAGCCGCATCGTTGTTGCTCGAGTGAGCATTGCGGACGACCGGCTGCGGTCGACTACTTCCGCTGCTCCAGCGCTCAGTTGGAATGGAAAGTGGTCGAGGCCGAATTGTTGACGCTGGCCGAGCGCGCTGACGTCACTTGACTTCAGTTGCATCGAAGGTTCTTGCGTAGCGCTTGTGTCAAGTTCAGGGCATGTCACGTTTGCATGTGACGCACGTAGAGTGTGTGCGCACTGAGGCCAAGCTATCAGCTGCAAAACGGTGCGCAACTGCCACTCGACAGTATGGGCGACAATATGTAGTGTTTTCCTTTTACGATTCTCTTTTGTTGTAGAGGAATGTCGTGTTTCTTTCGCTGTAAGATCTGTACGGGTATGTTGTGGGCGCAGGTTGTGGATCTCGCCAGCGTCCGAACCTTTCACTTGCAAGGTCACGTACCCGGGACGGACGTGGGTCCGTGGTTGATGAGGCTGCTGACATCGTCGACGTTCCTTTACCGACAGAAACGACGTCGTCGACAAAAGGGTCCTCTTCTCATGCCATTGAGGCGCACGCCGAGGTTTGGTCAGCGCGTCACCGAGCATATTTTGAATCCTCTGAGTGTGTGCATTCATTTCTGCTGTTTCGGCTTATGTCGCTTGGCGCTTCTAGGTTTTCGGGTAGGATTGAATCACAAGTCTTTCTATACGATTCAGTGGAATAAGACTCGAGGCTCACGCTATCAGCGGCAAAAAGTCGGCGCATCGGCGTGTCGGCAGCGGCGCATGGTAGGGCGTCATGCGTTATCTTTCTAAGTTCATGTGAGAGGCGCGTCTATGGTTGGTCATCTAGATCCGCTGCGTACGCTTGTTTTATCGGTATTTCTGTATGTGACACTTAGCTGGTCTGGGTTCTGGGAGGGTCTGGCGCGGCTCATGCTTTCAGCGGCGGAGAGTCGGCGTGTGGGTATGTTGGCGGCGGCGCATGGCTGGGAGTCTTGCGTTATCTTTCTAAATGTCTTCGAGAGACGTGTCTATGGTTATCCAGATCCGCTGCGTACGCTTGTTTTGTGTGTTTTCGCACGCGTCACGTAGCAGGCGGAGAGTCGGCGTGTTGGTATGTGGGCAGCGGCGCATGGTTGGGCATCTTGCGTTAGCTTTCTAAGTGTGTTCGAGAGACGTGCTTATGGTTATCCAGACCCGCTGCGCACGCTTGTTTTGTGAGTATTTCAGTACGCGTCACTTAGCTGTTGTGGGTTTGGAGAGGAGCGGGTCGCATATCTGCTGCCTTCGTTGAGCAGAACGCCAGCAAGCACAAGGTCATCGAAGAGGAACGGTCATGCCACTTCGCGGCGCAGCATGCGGTCGCGAAGCCTGAAGCCAAGCAAACTGCGTTGGCCGCCCAGCAGGAAGAGCAGGCGCGTCGCAAGGCCAAGGAGGACACGCTGGAGTCCGAGGACGAGGCCGAGGAGGCCGAGGTCGGAGTCGCGCCGGAGCAAGAGGCTGGTCAGGCGTCGGAGAATTGGTTCTTGAACACCTCTCCGGCAGCCTACGGCATGCGCCTGCTACGCGACGGACTACCAGCTCCTCAACTCGGCGGCGGACACAGCATTCCGACCAGTATGAGGCGGTGAACCTGGCACTGGCCCCTCTGCAGGCGCTCTGGGAAGCAGCCGGAGAGGCAGGGGCACGATCTGCTTTCGGGCAGACCACCCGGCTCTCCGAGCTGTTGCGCCTGGTCCGACCGGCTGCATGACACGATTTGAGTGTTGATTTTGCTTTTTTATGTTGTATACTTATTGTTTTGTTTACGTTTCTTCTTGGAATGATCTTTTTTCTTTAAGTTGGAGGCTAGGACCCCGCGTTATTGCTTAGTCTTTGTGGGATCGTAAGGACATGGTGGGCCGCATGTTCTTCCACGGCCCTGGCGGAAGTGGGCCGTCCTGTTCGAAGGGACTTGCGGCTGAAAACTCCGCCGCCAGGCTCATCGGAGGCAGCACTTTCCACTACATGGCCGGCCTGACGCGCAACCAGGCGCTGGACACCAAAAAGCCAAGCAAGCAGCGCACAGCTGCCTTGGCACGCAGGTGGGCCCGCCTGGTCTTGCGCTTCGTCGACGAAATCTCGTTGACGCCGCCGCCTCTGCTGCATGACCGTCCTCAACGTCTCGGCAGGGCGGGGTCGACAAGAGGTCACCGGGGTGAAGGACGTGACCACCTTCGCGGAGCGGCCACTAGGTGACGTTCTCTGTCAAACTACGGCGGGCGATTTTCTGCAGCTGAACCCGGTCCTGAATCACTCGTTGACGGAGGTTTCTTGTCTTTAACTGACGTATGACGATTTTTTTAGTGAGGATTGCCGGGCTCTGACCCCAGCCACGCTTTTTTTAGATCGTCTTGCGCCTCAAACTTGGGATCACGGGCAAGGTCATTGTTTCTTGTCAGGGCTGGTTATGGAGGTTTCTTATCTTTAGTAGCGTGATACTATTTTTATGTGCTTATTGTGTGGCTTGGAAGCTTGAACTCCAGGCATGTTTTCGGTGATTTCGTTGTACGACGTTTGGGCTTGAAACTTAGCATCATGGGCAATGTGGTAGCGATTACTTGGCTTGGAGGCTAGGACCCCAGTCGTTTTTCTGTATCGTTATGATATACGACATGAGCCTTCAAGCTTTGGATCCCGGGCAAGCTTGTTGTCAGGGCTGGTTGATGGAGGTTTCTTGTGTCTACTGACGTCATGCTATTATCGGTAGTGATTGCTTGGGTCAGAGGCTCGGACCCCAACGAAATCTTAAAATTACGGCGAAATACACTGTTGTAGTAGAACTTAAAACTTCGCATCACGGGCAAGGTACTTACACATATATATAGAAACATATATATATTATCGTGATGCGCGCAGTGCCAAGGCTCTCGGCGCGCACATCTAGCCCGCAGTCCTCAGTACGAGCGCATGCGTGGACGAAGCTGCACGCGTTCGCAAGCAGCGGATGGACCAGGCCGGCTACGATGTCTTCAGAAGTTCCTGAGCCAGACGGTTTTGTTCAAGGGCACCAACAGGCTCATCCTTTGGCCAGTATCTTGGAGAACATGCGCAAGGACGGCCACAATCCCCTGCCAGAAGAGCTCAAGCAAGAGATCCGAAAGTGCGTGCACCGTCCACTTGTTGGAGATCGCCGCTTGGACAGCGACTTCATCCTGCGCGATGAGCACGGCCGTCAGAGCTTCTATGCCAACGACGTCTTTTCCGCTGTGAACTGGGACCGCTGCAGCAAATCACTGCCTGGGAGTCAGCCTCCTCTTCCCGCGGCGCCATCGCTTGGGAAAACTCGGCCACTGGGCGGCCAGTGAAGATCGTCCGATCTTTTCCGCCAGCAGCGGGTCGCACATGGTGCTGTCGACATGGTCCCAGCCTGGCTCGCGTCGCTGATTTCCTTCATCCACAAGGGCAACTTCTCTACCACGTGCAGGCGGTGGACTTGATCCACCCAGGCCGAGTTTGCCCGGGATGAGGAAATCTTGCAGCAAGCACTGCGACTGCCAAACATGTCCAAGCAGACGGCAAACCTCATGTCGTTTCTGCCTTTGCACGTGGGCATGCGCTGCAAGATGACCAAGAAGATCATGGCGCCGGAACTGGCACAGGAATGTCCTTGTGAAGTGCTGCAGATCAACTTCCACCCCGACGAGCGCTTGGACTGCGTCCCACAGTCCATCCTGCGCATTGAGGACTCTGCCGAGGCATCTTGAGCTTGCTTATGTTTTTTCATGTTGTTATATTTTCTTATTGTTATATATTCTTTATTGTTTTTTTGTCGTTGTATGATCGTACTTGGTTTGCTTGCCTTGTCAAGACTACACTCGGCAGAAGCGCAGGGGCATCTGGCACCTGGAGCCGACGAGCGACGACTTCACTACGTCGGTGCGACGAGGCGGCCAGTTTTGGGTGAACGTCACTCGGGCACAGTTCGGTCTGGCTCCTAGCAAGGCAGGAACGTACAACAACTTGCAGGGCAAGACCATCCGGGAAGCGGATGGCACTCCTTTGGGACACCGCATCGACTTCACGAAGCCACACTACTTCAATGAGGACGAGTACATGCAGCACGTGTCCATGACTTTGGGAAGAGCGCGGTCGTTGCGCTGGAGCCTTTTTCGAAACTTGCCCACGACCTCAGACGGCGACGTGGATTTCACCGTCTTCGAGAACGGGCCGCCCTTATACATTTCTGAGTTCTTGAGCCAACTGGAGGAGCCGGTGTTTATTTTTGTCAGTTGGATTTTTAGGTGTCCTTTTCTGTTGGGTTTGCATTGAAGGCGTTGTAAAGTCACTTAGCCCACGCCGAGTCTTCTCGTGCTGCCATTGAGCGTTGTCGACAACAACTTCGTATTTTTCCTCGTTCAGAAGATCTTCCACGACCTATCCCTCGGGGCGAGTCTGGCATTTTCGTTTATGCGGACAACGCTTGGCAGGAGGCCTTGCTGAAGAGCGGCGGCTGCGCTGAAGAACCGGCCTAGCGGGACGGCGAGCGCATCTCTTGAGCTTGCCAAGAAGCGCGTGCGAGACGCCGCGCTCATGACGGACGACGCATTTTTCTCTGCACACGGGCTCCGTGCGTTCCTGGGCGCCGTGGAGAATCTTGGACTACATCGCGACTTCCTCACAACGTGAAGAAGCAGGTGTGTGGTACGATTCATGGCGGGTGTCAAGCTACTTGGTCGCGTCGCCTTTCGCGTTTCTCCGGGATTGCAATGACGCGGTCCAAGTGATGGAAGTCGGATGTGACTTGGACGTTCAGGATCGCCGCTCGGATGGCTCTTGCGCACGGAGGCAATGACCCCAGCGACAAGCCGGGGATCGTGCTTCATTTGCTTGAGCGAAATTATTTTTGGTTGACTCGACTTGGTCAGGTGCTGCGTTTGACGAGCAGAACATGGTTCGGAGGCGAGCGTGCTGTCCGTCATGTATGAATAGCTGCCGTATTCATGACCGCTGCGTACGCTTGATTAATGGGTCGCCGGTTCTTCATCATTTGCTTAACGCCGAATGTCCGAGCTCGACGGCAGCGCTGCAGCCAGGCGATATGGCATGTTGTCGAATTTGGCATAGTACATTACGCACGGCGCTTGTGTGGAAATGTAGCAAAGGTGACACATTATGGTGTTCTGCGGCGTCTTCTAATTAACCGTTTTATGTGCTTTGCGACGCGTGTAATCTTGTCGGGTATCTTACAGAGGACTGGGGCGGGAGGGAGGCAAGGGGGGGGGGGAGGGGGGGGCAGGACGATCCATTAATTGCAACGCGCCATATTGGTTGGCTTGACCTGGTCAGGTGCTGTGTTCGAGCAGGAGAACATGGCTTGGAGGTACGTTTGCTGTCCATCCTATCTGGATAGCCTGTATATTCACAACCGCTGCGTACGCTTGATTAATGGATAGTCGGTCGTATATCATTTGCTTTAACGCTGAATGACCGACCTGGACAGCATTAGTGACTTAGTGCAGCCAGGGGATATGTTACGTTTCGGGCTTAGCATAATGTATTCAGCGTGGGGGTAGCAAGGGTGTTACATCGTGGTACTCTGTGATGAAACGCACGCAATCTTGCCCAGCGTCTTGCGAAGAACTTCTTCAGAGGACGGGCGTATCTTGATTGATTCTAATATTATATTGAAATACCTGTCGAAGATCTCTGCCTGGAGGCTAGAAGCCGACGAGTTGCGCGTCAGTGGCAGTGACGTGGTGTCCCTGGAGCCAATGTGAGGTTGAGTTTGACCACGAGATCACGCGCGCGTTACGTGTGTGCCTCGTTCTTGTGCGCCGCAGGCGGTTTGGGTGGCGGCGGGTATCTTGCGCGCGGGGGCCAGGATCCCGGCAACCGGATAAGTAAATTGCATTGCGTTGTATTAGTTGGCTTGACCTGGTCAGGCGCTGCGTTGGAGTGGTCTTGAACATGAGATCGCATGCTTTGCTGTTGCGCATCCCAGGCGGCTTTGGAGGCGACGGCTCTCTTGCGCACGGAGGCCAGGACCCCTGCGACAGGGTTGGACGCTGTAGTGTTGCACGCAGGATGGACTTTTATTCGGAATAAGTGCTATTGGAGGGGATGGGCGGGCCATTCACTTGCTCGTATCATATTTCTTGCCTGACCTGGTCAGACGTTTCGTATGACTACCAGATCATTTTGACGAGGCGGGCGTGTCGTAATGTTGTTTGATGACGGGGCTCGATGCGTCGGCGCGGGCAAAAGCTGAGCATGTGTGCGCGCAACTTGTTCAGCGAATCTGCTGCTTGCAGTACTGTAGCGACGTGAAGGAGTATCTTAAGTGTTGTTTTGGTCACGGACGCGACCGGAGGCTGTGACCCCGTCGCTCGGTTCTTTTTCGCCGAAACTTCCAGCCATGGTTCGTCTTTTTCGCGCTTCTGGTCAGGAAATTCGCATCGACACTGTCGTCGTCGGCTGGATTGTTCAGGATCTTATGGATCTAGCGTGGGAAACATGTGGGATTCCTGTTTATCTGCAACGAATCATGAAAGGCTGCAACCAGCTGGCCCCTTGCGTCCTGCTCGCTGCTTCCATGGATGATGTCCATGAGGATCTGAGTTTGCTCATGATTGCGGTCGACAGGCACGATTAGGAGCTCATGCATGTGGCGCGAGAGGATTTGGCGAAGGCGGTGACACCGTGCGTTGTCTGCTGGATGCCAAGGCGGACGTCAACACAACTGTGTGTCATTTTACGCATATGTGCACGCTGATACTGGCGTGCTCCCATTGCCAGGCAGACGTGGCGACTTTACTCATCGAACGTGGAGCTGCAGTTAATTTCTTGGGCTGCGACGGTAGAACGGCTCTGACGTTGGCCTGCGAGAACGGCGACGCGAAGATTGCGAGCCTACTGCTTGGACGACGGGCCGACGGCGACATCCTCGCCTCGGACGGCGCGTCTGCGTTGATGTTGGCGTCCGGCTTGGGTCGCGTGGCAGTCGTGAGTCTGCTGCTCTGGTCTCGTGTTGAGACGTGGTCTTGGGAATCTAAGGGCATGACTGCGCTCATGTTGGCAAGTATCGGAGGCCATCTGGATGTCTTTCGTCAGTTACTTGACGCCGAGGACTATGTTGGCGCCTGGGATAACGGAGGCATGACCGCGTTTCTGTTTGCTGCCAACAGGAGGCGTGCGTCCGAAAGATTTGAGCACTGCGGCGTTTTTGGCAGCAGTGACCCGCCTTGTTTTCATTTGGATCACGCGCAGTGCGCCAATCTGTTGCTCGGCCGTTCGGCTAAGATTGAGGAGAAGGACAATTACAACAGAACGGCCTTGGTGTTTGCGAGCGCGAACAATGACATGGAAATGGTGCGTCTGCTTCTTCGGTTTGGAGCAAACGTGAACCGCGACTGCTTTTCTACTTCGACGCCCTTGATGTCCATGTCCTTTCTTGGTCACGCCAAGATGGCCGGGCTGCTGCTGGAAGCTGCCGCTGATGCCAATCAACGCGACGCAGAAGGTCGCACGGCGTTGCATTTCGCGGCTTTAAGTGGTCGCGTCGAAATTGCGGCCTTGCTGCTTGTGGCTGGCGCGCGGAAAGGCTTTCCCTCGGCTGACTTCATAGTGGCGCACACTGTGGCTCTGGTGAATGGTCATACAGATCTTGCGCGCTTGCTGCTGTAGCTTCACTAAATTTGCTAGTAGCAGTAGAGTAACGATGTTGCTGAGGTAAGCATAAGGCACCGGAGGCCCGGACCCCGTGCGTGAGCGAGCGCATCTGGAGCGCTGTCACGCGCTGGAGACTCGGACCCTGCGCGTACTTTGAATGAGCCTTCAGCTGGTCGTGGAGCTTGGACTGATGGTTGTCCAACACAAGGCCATTGCGTAATATTGAATGCGTAATGAGGTCTACGACTGACTGACAAAGCAACCTTATATACGTTCTTACCTTCACTGCGCTGGAATGCCTCGCACGTTGTTCAAGCATTGTCTAGCACGGTCTGAGTCTTGCATGGCTGAAAAGGCGACTGTAAATGCGATCCGCTGCGTACGCTTGCTTAACGCTGAAAAGTGTGATTAATCTGCTTAGAAGGATAGCAAGGAAGCTCGTTTACGAAGCATGGATGTACTTTGTTGTCGATGCAAGTGCACCTGATTTTGTCAGGTTGGTGGCGAAGGGCTCCCTCGGCAGGCAGGCGTTATGTGGTTGACCTCGCTATGTAGCTTGTACATGCTTGATAAAATGACTGTAAATGCGAACTGCTGCGTACACTTGCTTAACGCTGAAAAGTGTGAT